ATTTCTTTTAATTCCTGTTTCAGTCTGACTGAAAATAGAGGAGCTACCTGGTTGCACACAGTACTGATTCCCACCCAATGTGTTTCTATGTTCTTTGAAAGACAGTGTAATTGTGACTTAGTTGAATTAAATTGATGTGCTCTCCACAATCATCCCATAAAATATTCACTATCATTATCACTATCATTATAATCTGGCTCATAGGCCAGATTAAGATGGTCAAATAAGTTAGTTTGTTAAACCAATTTAAAACACACAGTCTTAGCTTTGTATAGTGGAAATATGGTAGTCAATAAGGTTTATCCTACATTATTGCTAACTGAAAACTTTTTCCAATACTGGCTCATAGGCCAGATTAAGATGGCCTATCATTATAGTCTGGCTCATAGGCCAGATTAAGATGGTCAAATAAGTTAGTTTGTTAAATCAATTTAAAACACACAGTCTTAGCTTTGTACAGTGGAAATATGATAGCCAGTGAGGTTTATCCTACATTATTGCTAATTGAAAACTTTTTCCAATACCCTGCCATGACAACTTGCTAGTCAACATTGGCAATTTTTGACAGTCACTATGGAGACTGAATTGTTTTAGAAAAAAGCAGGAAGCGAGGGGAAAGAGATTGGGTAGGTGAACACATTTAGATCAGGCAGGTGAAAGGACCACACTACTGTGGGTCACTCAGTGTTCATATGTTCTGCCTCTCTCTCTGCCTCATCTGCCCTCTCCAAAGATGGCATGGTTACAAGAACCAGAGTGTAGGTAAGAATGTTCAGAGATGGAAGGTTCAGGATGCCAATCTACGCTTGCTCTATCAAAAAGACTGAGGTTGCTGGTTGCTGGGGCTCACAACTGTAATTCAAACACTTAGGAAAATTGAAGCAGGCAGAGTGCTTGAGCCCAGGAGTTCAAGAACAGCCTGGGCAACATGGCGAGATCACGTCTCTACAAAAAAATTAAAAAAAAAATTAGCCGGGCATAATAGTGCATGCCTGTAGTCCCAGCTACCCAGGAGGATGAGGTGGGGGGATCACCTGAGCCCCGGAGGTTGAGGCTGCAGTGAGCAGGCAATGAGCCATGATCGTGCCACTGCACTCCAGCCTGGGTGACAGAGCAAGATCCTGTCCCCAAACAATAAAAATAATAAAAAGACAGAGGTAGGTATGTGTGGCTACACCTATAGCTCAGCGATGACCTTATGAGCAGCATTATACATTTTAAGCACAAAACAAATGGGTTAGAATGGATGATACCAATGGGTGGTCAATTTGAGGTAGACCAGACTGATTCATGCTTTATGAATATTTAAGGTTTATTTTGCTTTCCATCTCTATCTACAAGTAACACTCTTGTTTGTTTTGTCCTTTTAACATATGTTTAAGAAGTAAATGTCTATTTATTCTATGTTTAACATGTTTCATGCATTAATGATGTACTTATTATCTGTACTTAACATATGAGTTGATGTAACATATACTTACAGGTAAGTTTCATCTATCCTATTTGTTTCTCCTATTCTTTAGGGCAGAATTGAAAATTCTTAAATAATACAGCCAATGTATGTTACATTATGGATAAAAAATCTGAGGCACAGGGCCAGTAAGTCCCTTCCACAAAGTCCCCGCCACTTTTCCAAGGGCATGAAAAAAAGTCAGGTTTCAAATATAAAACATCTGGCTCCAGAGCCCTTTTTTTTAGTGACAGGGTCTTGTTCTGCTGCCAGGCTGGAGTGCAATGGCACGATCATGGTTCACTGCAGCCTTGACTTCCTAGGCTCAAGGTTCCAGTGATCCTTCTTGCCTTTGACCTCCCAAAGTACTGAGATTATAGGTCTGAGCAACCATGCCTGGCCTAAGAGCCCACTTCTTAATCACCATCCTAAACTGATTCCTAATTTGCCTGAGAAAACACAGCTGCTAAGTCTGACCTTAAGTCCAGTGCTCTTCATGCTAATTACTCTTTGTGTATAAGTACTCTAGGGCCAGGAGATCTGTCTTGTTCATCTCTGCATTTTTACCACCAAGCACAGAGCCCGGGCAAATACTTGTTGACCAAGAGAATATCTCATTTTATAACTTTTGTTTTTCTTTTGGGTTATGTTAGATGTGTGGAATAATTCCAATTTAACATTTAAGAAAATTTAACCTTTGGCATTTAAAGTTAAATTACCTTAGGTATTTGATTTAAAACTGATTAACCTAAAGAAATATCTAGTTGCTACAGAATAAAAGATAAGGATCTATGAACTGAGATCTAGCATTGATTGTGAAACTGATCCTTTTAAAGGGCTTCTCTGCTTCACTTTCTCTAGTAGGAAAATGGTCCTAGTAACTCTTATCTACTCCCTTCACCAGCAATTGTTACATTGTCCATTCTTCCTATTACTAGCATATCTTTAAAAAACGGCTTCTGCTTTATCAGTTAGATATTATTAAAAGATGTAAGTCTAACTGATAAAGCAGAAGCCGTTTTTTAAAGATATGCTAGACCATCCTGGCTAACACGGTGAAACCCCATCTCTACTAAAAAATACAAGAAAATTAGCCGGGCGAGGTGGCGGGCGCCTGTAGTCCCAGCTACTCGGGAGGCTGAGGCAGGAGAATGGCGTGAACCCGGGGGGGCGGAGCTTGCAGTGAGCCGAGATCGCGCCACTGCACTCCAGCCTGGGGCACAGAGCAAGACTCCATCTCAAAAAAAAAAAAAAAAGATGTAAGTCTGTCTATAAATTCATAAAATCAATGAACCATAAACATATTTACATATTAAAATAACATATTTTTATATCCTTTTAAAAGATTTTATGCTACATTTGGACATGTTGAACATCCTGTAATTTGGTAAATATCCTACAATTTTCCTCATTCATTTGACTTTTGTGAGAGAAAACAATTAGCCTTCTGAAAGAAGTTAACATACATTATATGCTAGTAAAATATTTTAATGCCTCATCTGTTCCACATTTTTTTATACGTTTACTGGCATGTTTATTTCCCCACTTACGAAAATATTATTTCTCTGTAGGAAGTTGGCAGTAATCTCAATAGATACATGACTAGAACTCAACGTAATGGGTGATTAATCCTGGCTACCCATCAGAATCACCTGGGACATGTAAAAAACCAAAACTGATGCCCCAGGCCTACCTCAAACAAACAATTTAAGTCAGTATTTCTAGGGCTGGAATTGGGACATCTCTATTTTAAAGAACTTCTCAGATATTCTACAAAATACTTGACCAGCACTCTTCAAAACTGCCAAGGTCATCATAAACAAGGAATGTCTAAAAAACTGCCACAGATCAGAGGAGGTAAAGGAGACATGATAACTAAATGTTAATGTGGTACCCTAAGTGAGATCCTGGAATAGAGAAATAATATTAGGGGAAAAGTACTGAAATCCAAATAAACTGTGGAGTTTAGTTAATAGTAATGTAACATTGATTGTTGTTCCTTAGTTGTAACAAATGTATCATCTTACACAAAAACAAATGTCAATATCTCACACAATAGAGAAACTGGGTATATGGGAACTGTCTACTATTTTTGTGACTTTTCTGTAAATAGAAAACTATTCTTTAAAAAAGTTTATGTAGAACATCTGATTATATGCTAAAGAGTAAAAGATAAGGATCTATGAACTGAGATCTAGCATCCTTTGTGAAACCGACCCTTTAAAAGGGCTTCTCTGTGCTTCACTTTCTCTAGTAGGGTTGAAAATCACTTATATAATAATCTGCTTACAGTGTACCAGAAAACAAAAAGACCCTGTGAAATACTGAGCCCAATTGTCAATTGTTGGCATGTGCGTTCTTAAAAATTTGACACTTAGAAACCATGGGCTGCTTCATTAGGACTTTTAGGGAAATTACATTTCTACCGGCAGTTCCAGGGCAACACAAATAGACCAGTGACAATACACGTAACTATAACAATCACAATCCTGATAATTACTGGCTTCCAAAATACAACAATTCGAGAAAGACTGCTTAGTAGAGAAGAAAAGGTAACAATAAATTTCTTAGTTTAGAAGCATAAGGTTCATTTTAATATCTATGAAAAATATAAATATGTGGATTAAATATAATGTCTAATGTTTTCTCAGACCCCAGTAGTTTGAGAAAAGCCTACCTGGATTTAGCTGGTCACATCTCTCTTTTCAAAACCGTTGCCATTAAGCATATTTGTCATCTGTGCAAATTTCTAGAGAAAAGTCAGAATTGTTTTTGAAGAAATCACTCTGCACAAGTAAACACTTGCCAAACAGCAAGTGCCAGGAGACGGTGTTTCACAAAGCTCTTTTTAAAAATTATTATTATTTTTTGCACACATTATCTAGTTTGGTAAAACTGTCACCAATTTACAATCCGGAATCACCATGTGAGTCAAATTAACAAATGTATTAGCAACTTGTAGTCAATCAGATTGTAGTTCCAGCTCCCTAACTCAATGCAATTTTAATAATTTCTCTTCTCTGAGTCTATCTCAGTTTCTCATCTGTAAAATGAGTAAAAGCAAGCCCTTTGCAGTTCAGACGTTGAGATTCGGTGGGAAGGACCTCGAGAAATAGAGTGGAGAATTTCAGGATTTAGGGCTTTAGGTCTTGATGGGTGGGATGGTACGGTGGAAGCTGTTCACTTGTTTGTGTTTCTAAAATCAGAAGGTAAAGCGAGAGGGACAGAAACGAGCGAATGGAAGTAGGACAGACACCGGACAGAGATCAACTCGGGACTTTTCTGGACCTGCGGGGCCGGCAGAGCATTCGGTTGCTAGGCAACTGCGCCTCCTGGGAGGGCGGAGGACCCCAGGGGCAGGTGTCTAAGTCACTACCTTTTTGTTTAGCCGCGGTGGTTTCTTCTCAAAATTAATGAAACCTGTAGCCTTTAAAAGTACACAATTTTTTGCAACCAAGTTTAGTCAAGCCCTGTAGCCGAGTTCTGCTTGCGGTGGTTTTTCTTTTTCCTGTTCTCAGGCGCGCTGCAGACACCTCTCGGGCAAGGCCCCAGCCGTCGCGGGTTGCCGGGCAGAGCCTGACGCCGCCAGCTCCTCGCTCCCCGCCCACTGCTCTCCTAAAGCGCTGGGCCTTCGCTGGCCGCACCGGCAGTCATGGGCTCGGAGATGGAGCCGCTGCTCCTGGCCTGGAGCTATTTTAGGCGCAGGAAGTTCCAGCTCTGCGCCGATCTGTGCACGCAGATGCTGGAGAAGTCCCCTTATGACCAGGTACCGGCCGGCTCCCGTCAGCCTGTGCATCCTGACGCTGAGGCTGCGGGGTCTGGGGCATATTCCGGCCCTGGGTGGGGAGGCCGGGGAGGAAGGCCCGAGGCAGGGCTGACCGTTCGGCCCTCGGAGGCGCCCGGAGCGAGACCTTGTGGAGCTGTGGCTAGCGGGTCCGCTGTCCACCACGTCCACAGGGATAGCAAGTTCTGTGCCATGACCGCCCCCTCCTCACAATCTTCAGCTTCCCCTCCCCTACGTGTCCCAGAGTGAGAGCCCTGAATTTTACTTTGACGAGGAACTTTGGTAATTCATTTATACTTGCATATTGATGGGCTTTAAACTCTCAGCGTGTGCGTTATTAATTTCTAAACAGTATGCATAAACGAAGATCTGTGACTCTCCACCTCCTGTTAACATACCTGCATTTTTCCTTTTGGATGTGATCCTCCCACTTCAGCTTTAGACTGTTGTCCAAGAGTGAAGGAGGCCATCAGTTTAGCTTGAGGCAAATATGCAAGTTAGAGGAATGAGAATCTAGGAGGGAGAAAGATACGTTCATTATTTAAAAAATTACCTGGACAAGGGAAGCTATAATTGTAGGAGGAAGAAATGGGAAAGAAAGGCTCCTTACAAGAAGGAATGATGGCACTGATAAAAAGAGAACTTAAATAAACTAATGTGTATAGCGACTGGAAAAGGTGGTATACAATGTACGTGAGTGGTACAATTCTGGTGGGCAGGTAGCTCCTGGAATAGGCAAAAAAGGAGAAAATGGGAGAACAGAAGTAGCGCTGTGGCAGTTTGTCAGTGCTTTTAGTAAATGCGGAATATACCTACATAGTTCTAGTTCCCTAGCTTTTCCTCTAGTGGTGTTGCCTTGGAGATGTTAGAAAAAAATGGAAAATTGAAGGGAGTTACAAAAGCGGAGGCCTGAGTGTGAATGCTGTTACTAGGCTCTGCCTTAGCTCCCAGCAAATGGATGATGGATGATAACCTGCTGAGATGAATATTTTGTCCTTCAGATAGTACATCTCTCTTAGAACAGCCTACGTTAGTGGTAATGCAAAGCTAGGTTCTGTTGTTAGTTCGCATCAGTTAATAGGACTATGTTTCTGTAGACAAGCATTTTTCCAAGTTTTTTTTTTTTTTTTTCTGAGATGGAGTCTCGCTCTGTCACCCAGGCTGGAGTGCAGCCGCGTGATCTCGGATCTCTGTAACCTCCGCCTCCTGGGTTCAAGCGATTCTCCTGCCTCAGACTCCCAAGTAGCTGGGACTACAGGTGCGTGCCACCACTTCCGGCTAATTTTTTGTATTTTTAGTAGAGATGGGGTTTCACCGTGTTAGCCAGGGTGGTCTTGAACTCCTGACCTCGTGATCCGTCCGCCTCGGCCTCCCAAAGGGTTGGGATTACAGGCGTGAGCCACCACGCCCGTCCCCCAAGTGTGTTTTTTGGCATAGTAATCTCATAGATATTGCTTTAAAAAATACACAATCAAATATGTTTGGTAATCGTGACAAAATATTGATCCCTTTACATTGGTACAACAGAAACTTGTTAAGAACCTTTGATGTGGCCGGGCGCGGTGGCTCACGCCTGTAATCCTAGCACTTTGGGAGGCCGAGGTGGGCGGATCACGAGGTCAGGAATCTGATCGAGACCATCCTGGCTAACACGGTGAAAACCCGTCTCTACTAAAAATACAAAAAAAAATTAGCCAGGCCTGGTGGCGGGCGCCTGTAGTCCTAGCTACAGGCTGAGGTAGGAGAATGGAGTGAACCCAAGAGGCGGAGCTTGCAGTCAGCCGAGATCGCGCCACTGCACTGCAGCCTGGGCGACAGAGCAAGACTCGTCTCAAAAAAAAAAAAGAAACTTTGATGTGCCAGATATTGTTCTAGGCAAAACGGTTTGCAGGAACATGATGTGCTGTTTTCATTTTTCCATTGAGTTCGGGTAGTTTTCATTCTGTGTTCCACAAAACAGTAGTCCCAAGAGCTGTTCAGTGAGAAAAAGTTTCCTCATTAAATACGTTTGGGAAATGTGTGTTCCTTCTTGGAGATTCAGGATGTACCCTAAAGGCTCTGAGTAGTTTTGAAGAAAAGGAAACTAGTTTTGCCTATTTTTGATTAATGCAAGTAATTAAATAGTTCTGAAACTTATTTGACCACCGGATTCCTTTTTTTTTTGTCAAATATCTTCACTGTTATCGTGGGAAGATGTTGGTACATTGGGAAATGTAGGCGAAGCAGCAGTATTTTTATTAATAGTTAAGACCCTCTAATCTTGAGTTCACAGTGACATTCAGTATTGCACCAATGAATTGAGATATCAGGACTTTATATGTATTCATCTCAATGACCTTTCCTTGAGTGCTTACTACAGATTGTGTATCTCTTATTCGATATGTGACGAGACCTGAATAGAAGTTTCAAAAAAAGTTATTGTTTTATTTTTATGAGCAAGGGTTGATATGTTCAGCTCCAATAAATATCAGAGTAGGTCTAAGAGAATCAGTACCAGATCTGGAGGAAACTTGATATTATTTTCCTTTCTAATCATTTTTATGTGTTTTATTTGTTTATTTGTTTTGTTGAGGTAGTTTATTATGGTTGAACGGTATATATTGCCAGAATAATGAGTAGCATTTTACCAGGAATAGACGTTTAACTTGATGTTATGTTACCAAAGTTGGATTTTGATACTAGGTAGGGCTATTGAAAAGTTTACTGGGCTTACTCATGTTAGTCGTTCTTTGACCTAACTTTAAACACTGTACTGTTATTACTCTATGTTTTTCGTAGCACCAGTTTCTGTATTTTGCACCCAGTTGTTGTTTCATGTTGGAAATATTTCCCAGAATGATTTTTCCCAAGCTTGAAGAAATCCTGCCTTTTTCTTAATTAAAAAAATTAATATTTATGTTAGAGTGTTGACACGATTAATGAAAAGCTTTAGGAAGGAAGCTTAAGGAAGTTCCTTTGATTACAAGCTTGAAAATTCTCTTTCCTTAGAAAATGACTCCAAGATGGCAAGTCTGTATGGTATCCCAAGCACCTGACGCAGTCAGGCACACGGGGGCCCTTATCATGTATTTGCTGAATGAGTGCATCAGTCATGTTCGTATATGGGTTTTGATGGAGTTGTTCATATGTGCCAGCTTCCCCTCTATGAAGATCATCCTAGTTGCCTGATCATCTTTGTCTTCCCCTGCCCCATCCTTAATTCTCAGCACCATAGGTTCTTCAATGGACACTTACTTTTTCAAATAAATATAATTTCCTTATGGGCATTCTTAATTCTTGTTTTGAGGGTCAGTTTTTAAAAATCAGCTTTTAAAATTCCTCCTGGGTTCCTCCAGGAAAGTGTTTCTAATAGTAATGATCATCATTGCTATTTCTTACAGTGCTTTCATTGTTTCAGTGGAGGAAGTTAAATGATGGAGAGATTCACCATCTATGAAAAGCTAACAGAAATGTGACCAGAGCGGGAGTAGATGGTCCTCTGCTCTGCAGTTAACTGGTTCACCTTCATGCCCGTTTAGCCTCCTGGGCATTTACTGAGGTTTCCACATTTGAGAGTACTTTTCCTCTGTAACTGTTTGAATTACTGTTCTGTGCCACCAAACTGATTATAGTATGGAGTGACTTTGAAACTCCTGGACACATAGAGGAGCCCAGAAATTAAAATATTTCTTCTGAGTGCCAAATGGATTCGTTTTTGCTCTTACATTTTCCCCTCGCCATTACAAAAGATATATTTTGTTTTTAATGATGTCATTTTTCACTTTTGATTTTGTTTATTTTTCTCCCAGATGAGTAAAACCTCTCAAAAATGATTTGTTATTTGTTAATCTTTTTATAAGCTGGTCCAGGGAGCTTCAAAAAGAACATTTTGGTCCTGATACATTAGCATACTGAGATGAAGCCCACCTCTAAGACTATTTTGTATGCATTTATTTCACCTTTAAGGGATACTGTTTTGGTGTAGAATCATCAAAGGTCTTGAATTATTGCCTTGTATTTTCTATTAGGATTTCTGGATTTTATTTTTGATAGTCAGGCTAGCCAGAGAGGTATGATGTACCATGCAATAGCTTGTTTCTTCAGAGTAACACATTTTAATTTGGCTACAAAAGAACTGAAGGGTAGATTAAATATAATAATATGGTGTTTGGTAATGGGGAATTGTTCTTGAAGAACATGGGTTCTCAACTGCTTTTTCTAGATGCAGAATAGTGAGGGACAGAGGCCAGCCAGGATCTGTAAGCATGAAGGGTATTAAAGTTCAGATCTGTTAAGAATAAAGAAAGATAACTGATTAATTTATTATAATTTCCCTTTTTTGATTAAATATAGTAGGAATAACCAATTCATAGAGAAGCTTTATCTTTTTCAAAGTGTTCTTTAAATTGTGACTGAAAAAGTGGTTAAAAGTTGTAAGATATAAAAAGAGGAAATGCAAAACAGTCTTCTCTGTACAGCACTGTGACCTAGAGGGAACGTTTGCTTCTGCGGCTCATGTTGATCGTCATCCTGATTAGTTGCTTAATCTGTTTACTGTTCTTTGTGTTCCATATGTCAGATTCATGGCTTTAAATAAAACCAGTCCTGGTTTTTAGCTCCATTATAATTAAACAGTTAATAAAACGTTAAGGTTTTTCAGGCCGTGGGATTTTTAAAAGACAATATGCTTTCATTAATGGGGTAGGTGTCTGGTAGATTTTCAGATTATTGAAATCGGTGATTCTGAGGGTGGGACCCATGAACTGTGTATCAGAATGGGAGAAAGACTTTTTTCTAACTTACATTCTCACTTTGCCCCAATCTTTGCTTATAATGAGAGATGTTACAGAGAGGAGGGGGTTATTATTGTAAACGGTTTGAAGGAGGAGAAATGGCTGAAAATGACTGGCTTAGATGAAAGATATAAAACCAGGGCTCCCCAATGAGCTATATGTGAGTAGTTGGTTGAGACGGTGATCTGGTGATCCAAGCCAAAGAACATG